ACAGATTTACATGAACTGGAACCAAACATAAAAATCAGAAACAAAGAGCAGATTTTTTTTATATATATATAATGACAAAAATATCAGAAATTAAATAATAAAGCTTTGTTATATGCAACCTAACTTTGTTAAAAGTATTTGTTTTGTTAACTGTTCACCATTGACTTTACTGAATGTAATATATTGTCTTGTGTTGTGTTATGCATGCTATCTATCTACTAGAAAACTTTATTTGCAATAATTACATAAATGAAATAAAGCGTTACAATATGATATAAATATGTGCCAGCTGTCTATTTATAATTCTTCTATCTTATATTGAATAAACATTAGTAGTGTATAAATGTCTTACTTACCAAAGGTTAACAAGAAGCCATAGAGCATGCTGAGAACCCATGAGTACCAGCCTTTGTGCTCTACGTACAATAAACTGTAGACAGCATAGCAGCCAAACAGAGGGTAGAGCAGCCATGACAGGTACTTGAAGGCCATCTGTTCATTGAATGAGAGAAAAGGAATCATCCTTCAACTTTCTGCTTAGTCAAAACTGACCAGTTAAAAATGTATTACTGATTGGTTTTCAAACAGCGCCTTATGAATGTGTTGAGTATTGAACTTACGTCGTCGTAGATTTTGGTTGAAGACTGCACATATGTTGACTTGTCTTTGAATACTAATCTTGGGAATATCCCTAGGATTTTGTTCTCTCTGTCCAGCTAAGCAAAGAAGAAAAATGTGGTTACTTGAATGAGGGTACAACAGCAGGAAGAAGAAATGTAATGTAGAGATATAAAATGTTAGCATTTGGATTGAAAAGGGGGAACAAAGGACAGTTGGATTAACATATATGGCTTATTATCAATCCATACATTTTTGAGGACTTTTCTAAAAGTCAACACTGTGTCAAGTTTAGAAGAGAAGTTTCCTGGTTTTTATTCAAGCTAAACTTCATCTGAACCTCTTTTTTGATTTGGGGAGATCATCAGTGAGACAAACCACATTAGGTGTTTTATTAAAAACGACAGAAGAAAGGAGCTCAAGAGTTGTTCTGACTTACCTTGACATCCATGACCTTGGTGATTTTCCACAAGTCAATGAGAAGACCGATGAAGACGCTGACCTGCACCACAAAGTTGGTTTCGTTGTCCAGAATGTACAGCAGCACTACCAGGGACTGAAACACTCCAAATATGATGGAGCGGACAGAAAGACCTTCAAGAGACTGTCTGCTGTTCCAGAACTGGATGTCTGAGGAGGAGATGGTGGTGAGGTGACATTAAGAGTTTGACAGACACTGTACAATCAATTCTGAATACAGACTGGTTTGTTGTGATCTTACCGTTCTTGAAGGCAAGAAACTCAAAGATGCTGTGTACAATGGAGACAACGATGGTGAGTCCCAGCAGGTATGGGTTGGTTTCCAAAAGGGCCACCTATACAATGAGTGTTTTAATCCCAGGTTAGATGTAAGACAAGCTCATTTTTTATTATCAGAAAGATCACGTTCGACTGCAGCGACACCCACAAGATCTAAATACCTAAATAATAATAATTATTATTTTTATAACATTACTACTGCTGGTCTACTTGACAGAACCTTAACAAAAACCTGTGTCTAAGAACCAACACTTCTATCTCATTACATTTTCAACCGTTTGTCTCCAGTTTCTCTCTGAGACCCTTGAACTCATACCTTCACAGAGTCCTGGTCTTCGTCAGACTGCTCGTAAGTGTCCTCAGGCAGGAAATTCCATGGTGAGCGAGCGTTTTGGGCAGCATACAGCTGCCAGCGCCACAAGGACAGTGGGCAGTAGTTGAGACGCAGCGGCAGCTTTGTCAGGGTCTCGTTGATGGAGTAGTAATCTTTCTGCAGGTTCCAGTAGTCGTTGAAGTACACGATGGGGTAGTAGTCGCCACTGACTGCATCAAACTTCACATCTAGTGATAGACAGGGTAGAAAAGTGGAAATGTCAAAGACACAGAACTTCAAGAAATCTATGTTCAATACAGAGAAGTTAAAAATCTGTTGCAGTTAAAACCTAAAAAATTGCAAACAATTACAGCCTCTCGCAGTAATGACACAAAGGTCAGCGAGAAGAACTTACGTTGGTCTAGAGGAGGTGGGACAGAGCCTTTGACCCAGGCTGTGTGGTCATCTACCATGTTGATGGTGAGGTTGGGATGCCAATGAGAAATAATCTCCACTGGACCGTGGCTCTCTGCTCGCTGTCAAACACATTTCAGAGTTTTCCTTTAGTTACGAAGAACTTCAGTAAATACTTTACTAATATTTTAACTGGTAACATTCATTCTGTGAAAAGATAAAAAAAATTTCACTCTGACAAACTTTCTTGTGCAGTAAATTTGCACAAGAGGTCACTTCAATCAAGTGTGTGCAAAAAAATTCAGTAGGCATATTCAACCAACCAGTAAATTAAATTAAGAAAAAGTTATAACCTGGTAGATACTGGATTTCTGATATGTCTAAATATTTTGGTATTTTAAATATAGCATACTAAAATAATTAAACATTAATTGGTAGAGATCCCTTGGATTTATTGGCTGATGTATCAGTCTAGATCTACAGTGCACAAAATAAAACAAAATATACAAACCTTGATCATTTCAGGATCTGCTTCTGTTTCTCCTGTTAGCAGATTCTTGGTCTTCATAAATTTTCTTCGTTTGAATTTATTCAGCACTGCCAGAGTTAAAGGTAAAGGTTAACCGTCCACACTGTTACTAGAGCTTTGGTGTAAAATTTACAATGTGTGTCTTTTGCAGATGTGCTCACTTCGTGTTGAATGAACTGTTGCCAGTCTTCGATACTGTCCCTTGCGTTTAGGGTCTGGGTGGAATCCACTTTTAGTGAAGTACACGTGAATGTAAAGGGAACCGTTCTGCTGAACCTCCTGCAAGCAAATACCACACAGGGAAAATATTCATGTCAAGTAAAAGATCTATTAAGTTTTATTTAGGTCTATTAACCCTCCCCCAACTCTCACACTGCACCTCCCTCTCCCCTCTATAAGTTATCCCCACCTCTGGGATGTCGATCTCCTCATTGTGCTGGTAGCAGCCGTCCCTGTCTTCTCCCATGTTCCAGTCTCCATAGATGAGGTCCCTTTGGAACCAGAACAGGGAGTCTGTGTTGTTGAAGTCAGAGAACACCTCCTCCTGGGACACATAAACATACAGGTCCTGCAGAGACAGAGAGAAAATGTGTGTTTATGACATTACAGAAGCAGTGAGACGGTTACTCTAAGAGGGAAAAATATAATTTGTTTGCTGTGCAGGTATTTAAGGAGATGGGAATATGAGGGGTGAAGATGAAAAGCATAAATCAAAAATATTTAATTATACCATGAGGGTTTCCTTGGGGAAGAGGTTCCTGCTGGGTACTCTGGGTGCCCCAGCTGGTGTGTTGGGGTCAGGCGTGGATGGCCCTCGGCGGAACCAACTACTGATCGCCCAGATTATGAAGATTCTGGAGAAACAAGAGTAAACACAACCAAGAAAAGAAGATTGATTAACATAGGTTTTTTAGTGAAGGATAAGAGGGGGAAAAAGTTGTAAGTGGAACTTGAGGGCTATTCAGATTAAAATGTATCCAGTCCAACTGCATTAAACTCATACTTTCAGGGAAAGGTCTCTTGCATCATAAATCATCCTTTTGTCTGTTTGTGGTTTTCTTTACTTCCCTCTTTTTGGGAAATAGACATCACACTGGCATTTGAATAAGGGAGGGGGAGGTGTGCTGGGTTTATTTTGCTCAGAGTTGACATCTAGTGTTAGTGAATATTGTATGTATAACCTTTAATACATCCACAGCATCAGAGTTAGGTTTTATCTTTGCTTTTCAGATTAAGACAAAAAGACAAACTCACCTGAAGAGGACTCCTTTAATAACCTGCCAGGCATTTGGTGCTTGTTGCTGCTGCTGAGGGTCCTGTGCATTTCCAGCTGTTTCCACAGTCTGGCCATCTGTTGCTGCAACAGTTCCATTGCTGCTCACCTAAAACCATAAATACACAACTCATGATCAACTACCTAATGACCTTTGTCGTTAAGCAGTTTATTGAGACAATTTTCTATGCGCCTTTTCCTGAAGAGACGTAACAATGGCAAATAGCTTTGTTTTCAAACACAATGGCAAGAAGTTTGCAATTGAATGATTTCAGTTTTAACACTTAATTAAAAACATGTTCTGGTTCATGGCACTAAAATGTAAAACTGTGTTGGATTTCTTTATCTTTTCTTTTTCTAAACTTAAAGGTAATATATGCAAGAATCCAAAGAGTTACATGCATTAATCCCATTATTGCCAATTTGTCTTTCTCAGTTGCCTATTACAGCCACTTAATCACACTATTTCCTTGCATTGCCAGACCATTGTCCACACTTAATTTTTAGTGCTGCGCCTCATCTATCCACATGAGGCCGGTTAACCAAGTTCAGTCTCGTGTACATCACGTCACTGTTTTGGTCCACGTTTCCTCATGAGCAGCAGGATGCTGACTGTAGTTCACTGAACAGCCACTGGTGTCATTAATAACAAAGGTTTTCTGAAGGTTACATATGGCTTTACACAATACTTCTTTTTTATGTAATATAAAATATAGTGTATTTGGGTTTAAATTACATATTCAGGCTCTGTGGGATTTTTACCAGAGTTAACATTTTCCAGAATGTTTTTTAAATAAATAAATTATTGAAATGAAAGTCCTCAAATTATTACAAACATTTAAAAGAGACCATTCTAACTGACTTAATTCACTTAATTAATTACCATGATCCTTATTTGTGATTATAGCTATAAAGCCTTTGGAGTTTTAAAATATTTAAATAAGTCTCCTAACAGTCCCCATTATATTTGCATATTCAAGATCAATAAAAATCTCTCTGTTCTTTAACGTAATTTCACACTTGAAAGGTTCAGTGTGGCTATGCATCCCCCACCCCTCCAGCAAGGCCAGACTCTATTCAAGTGACACAATAGACAAGCACATGCCAAGTCATGAGACTCGTTCAGTATCTAAACATCTAATCTCCCCCGTTGTCACCAACACAAACGAGACCAGCCGCTGGCCTCTAAAAACAAATACTTGGGGGTAAAAAAAGCTTTCCGTTTGACAAGTCATTCTCCTTTAACAGGGTGCCAAGACGGCCTTAAATTGAGTAACAGTGAAAATGTGATGGCTTGTGATAAGATTACAAGGCCATGAAGTGGTTAAAAAAGGGGCTTTTCATCCTCGCTGCCATGTCCTGTTGTGTATAAACTGAAGCAACTCTATCAGAGTCATGGATCTCTGACTCCTGAACCGATCAACATAATAACCATCACACAGAGAGATCATGCACCAACACACTAAATAGGTTATCTCCTGCCGCAGCTTAGGATAATAATTTACAATTTACAGGCTCCCCAAGGATTAACAATTAACCACCTATTCAGGTTTCCGAGTAAATACTTCTCACTGGATTGTCTGTGTGTGTCTGGGAGGAGGAGGGTAAAAAGTTCAGGGAGGACAATGGTTCACAGAGAAATGGAGACTTCTGTAATGTCTATCATACCACAGTGAAAGTATCCCCCACAGGTGGAGACAAGCAATACAATAGAGACATATATAAATAAAGTAAAAATCACTTAACGATAGAAATGGTTTCACCACATTCAGAGGATGTGTAGTAAAAGTAAAATGCTCATTTTGTAGACATGGATAACACTGACTCCACCATGTGTTTTGTGTTGAAACCAGTTAAACCTGACCTGTCTTCAGAGAAACCAAGTGGGTAACTGAAAAGAAAAGCAATCACCTGTGGTTATATATCTCATTAGACCCCTGAGTGTTTTCCCCTAAATTAATACCACAGAAATTGATCTCATATGATTCATCAGCAGTGGGTTTCAATAACAACATAATTGCATCTTACAAAACTAATAGAGCAGATTTTATATAAAAAAAAGACACCAAGTGCATGATGCAGCCATGCCCTAGTTTCTGCCATTTGTGTATTTTCATTAGAATTTAATATCAGAGCCAGGCATCACTTTCCAGGGGAGACAAGTCCCCAGCAATGGATAAAAAGAACAATGTTAAACTGATCTTTTAAAGGGTATTTAGACGCTTCTAAAAGTCCAGATAAAAAAATTGGTTCCCTGAAGAATTAAAAAAAGAATTTGAACTTGTTTCTTAACATTCTTTTTATCCAAATGGATACCAAGAAACTGGAAATACATTGAAAACAGTGGTAGATTTTGTTGAACAACCTTCTGGGTTTGAAGGGATTTATCATTGCCAATGTAAATTGATTATATCAACATTAAAGATAAAAACCAATGAGTAAATAGACAGATGTCCCATTATCATTTCTTAAAAGTTTAAAGACAGATTTCTTATCCTGAGTGAAGGTTGTGGTTTTAAACTCGTCTCCACTCTTTTCGGCTAAGAATGACAAACACTTAAAACATTTGACAAATCGGTGGTAGCTCATTTATGTGTAACACCTCACTGAGCTTACATGAACATACCAAGATATATTGGACTTCTTTATATTATCATAGATGACAACTACACAGAGATAATAATTGTTATTGTAATATTGCCCATGTCTATTTGATGTTAATATATGGTGGGCGTAAACCAAGGCTCAATACTGTTGATTTAAAAGTCCAATCGGAGAAACAAAAACTTGAATTATATATAAATTACCCTAAAAATAATGAATAGTTCAATTATTAGTGAATTGACAAAGAATTGACCATCATCAGCTCTCTGCTCCAGACTTCACCATATGTTATATCATGTCACTGTTCAGTATCACCTCAACACAGAGCAGGAGGAAACCAGAGGTGATGATTCACTTTGACCTCTGTTAACTTGTGATAAGCATCAGTCACTGTGGAAAATAATTGCTAGGTTGCTCGCTCCCACCATGTTGCTACACCTGATCCTGGATGTTAACAGAGAGAGCCAAACCGGTATTTCACTGTGGTTTACAAAGTGAACATTGAGCTAAATGTTAAATGAAGAGACAGGAGGAGCAGATGTAGCGGTGGGTGAGGGATGTGTGCGGGCTGCTGCTGGAGACTGGCCCGGTTGCTGAAGCCGAGCTGCGTCGCTCAGCTTCGGGCCTTGTGGAGGCTCTGACGCCCCGCAGCAGTCAGCCGGCTAACACCGACACACCTGGACCCAGCTCCCCGTCCCGTCGCCTCTACCTCACCGTGTGAGTCCGGGTGAGACATCCACGCCATAAACGCTCGGTCTCCGCACAGCGAACCCGCAGACGACCGGGCTTCCTCGGCTCGTCGTTTTAAAAACCAAGCGGCACTGACAACGTCACCGGGGCTCGTGTAGTGTTCGGGAACGCGTTCAAACATTAACCGGTGCCGGACTCCACGCTCGCACACCCCGACCGGCCTCCCCCTTCTCCTCCCCGGGGACGTGTTAGGTGAATGTGGTGAGAAGGGCTGTCATTCATTTTACCTCGCCGTTGCTCACGGTGTCTTTCGTCGCTTCGCTCTCCTGCGTCGCCATCTTTCCCCCTTGTCTCTCTCGCGCACACGCCACACCACACTGCTGCCTGGGAAATCGCGCGGAGTCTCGCGAGATGTCGGTGTATGCGTCATCGGGATGACGTCTATCATCTAGAACCTATGATCGCTCTCTGCAGCTGTCAGTGTCCCGCTGACCCCAGCTCAGTCCTCTGTAGGGAAAAGTTTCTTTTCTCAATGTGCTTTCTGTTCCTGCAGCAACATTTTATTGGAGCAACTTTGATTGCAGCATTGACTGGAAGAAGGTTTGGTCCTTGCTACGAAGATAGATCCTCATAAATAGAGTCAAAGAAGTGTCATTTAAACTGATTCATAGATTTTATCCGACGAAGATCAGGTGAGACATTGATGTGAACTCTTTTGTATCCAGAAACGTGCTCCAATCAAGTTTACTCATAAACGCTGGAAAGATTATAATTTCAAAACATTTTCTCAGATTTTGTGTTTTTACTGTAGAATATTATTTGGTTACCATGATTACAGCGACAACATAATTGCTTTTTTTAATCATTAATATGATTTCTTGCCAACTTCCACATCCACATCAACAAAAGTCCCCAATTCTTTCAATTTATGAAAGAAATGGAACAGTAAATATCAACAATGTCCCTCTCCGAAAACAAAAAAGCCATCAAAACAATGAACACCTTTAAAGTGTTTATATGAATTTGAAGTCAAACTCTTGCATCCTCTTCTTTTTTTTGTTTCTTTGTTGCTGTTTTCATTCATTTATTCATTATTTCTGTTTGATTTTCTTGATACATAATTTATATGTGAGAATGTATCACCATCCTATCCTTATGTTATATTTATACTGTATGTTGACTGCTTATAATAAAGTTTGTTGAAAATAATTTAAAAAAAGACATAACAAAAGTACGCTGTTGACTGACCTCCTGTTAGTCTCAGCTTTGCTAAAAACAAAGGATGTGTCAGACACGTTCAATAGAATAAAACACATTTACATGTAACCAGACTGCATCTTGTTTGTTTTACCTCACAGTTCAATCTTAAATCTAACCTGGGGCTGCCTTGGTACGTGCAGCTGCGTTATGACATTCATAACTTGCTCCTATTAAATATTATTTAAAAATCCTTAAGAGGTGATACAGATATTTCACCTCACTCTTGTTCATGGTGATCCTCACTGTCAGTTTAAGATATTTGACTGCAGACATTTCTAGTAATTACAGGGAAAGTCAGCTCAATTTTCATTATAGCATTCATAACTTGCTTGGCCGGCTATAATCGCCACTAACATATTTGCAGTGGTGGAGCACTGACTGAGGGACAAGCTGAAGGATCCCTCTACCAGGATGGACAGATGTGCAACAGATGTATAATAGGTGTAATAAATGAAGTTTCAGACAGACAGAGTGTAAATGGTTCATGTTACAAAACACACACAAAATCAACTCATCAGCTACTGTAGTGACAAATTATTTTTATTATGCATTACCAGTTGGCACATTGTAAACCAGCACCTTAGAGATGACCAGAGCCTCTTTTTAAAGGAAAACAGAACATATGTGAATATGTGGTATTAGCATTTCATTGAATATAAACAATGAGTTCTGGCTGTCGGTCAAATATACTACTCATTGAAGCCCAGCTGGTTACTTTGTTGAAGCTCATTGTGACCTATATTTGAAATTCTCTATTTGAGTTGTGTAATTCATCATATTTTTTTTTCTTGTGAAAGTAACTATTGAACAAATTCCAGTACATTGAAACTACAACTCTAACAATTACTTTGCATCTTCAACTCCCCAATCCTGTAAAATGTAGTGAAATCCTGATCAGTCACTGGTTTCATACAAAGGACGCAGCCATCTGAAGTATATGCTAACATAACAGAACAGCCACTCTGGGGTATAGTAGCATTGTTTCCCCTACAGGCCTATTACAGGGCATGTACCATTACTATTTAAAAAAGTTTTGAATCAATAACACACTGAGAAATAATTAGGAACTCAAGACATGATCAGCATCCAATGACAAGATTTTGAAGAGTAACTCTCCATAACAATTGAATTAATTTGTGTACAGAGGAGCAAATTAAATAAATACATTTGATCTGATGGACTGCATTTGGATAAATCGAGTAGACTTCAAATTTTAATCCGGAAATGTGAAACTTTGCTGGATACATTAAAGTGCAGACGATTTAATATTTGACAAGAGGAATTCAATGAGAAAAAAAAACAATGGAGTATTGTTTTACAATACACATACAAACACAAAAAGCCATTTAGAAAGGAAATATATACCATTGCCTACCATGACACTTTTATCCACCTATATAATCATCAATTACTGTATATAGGAAGATAATTGGTCAACAAGGTGAGAGAGGTTGCCCTGACTCAAAATCCTTTGATGATTTTCTTGTCTGACATATTGTTCCTGAAAAATTAGGGGACTGTTTTTAATAAAGAATTTCAAAAAATGTTTCCAGTTCAGATCAATTGAATGTCACAGTTGTCAGGGATACAAGCTGCTCTTGTTTTAGTGTCAAAATATTTTCCAGGACATTTTTCCTTCAGTACAGTCGCCCAATCCTCAGACCACTCACTTAGCAATTTACAGTCTTCAAATCTGTTCAGACTACAGTTGACTGTAAAAAATTATATACAATCATCTTTGTAAACAGAAATATAAAATGAATCATGAGAAAATAGTTGTCAGATGCCATCAATCTTCAGAATGCAAGGGATCAACAAGTACAACTAAAGCAAGAAAGTGTGCTCAGTGAAAAGCTACATATGAAACTTCCTTATGTTGTCTATCATGAAGAAATGCTCTGTTGAAACCTTGTTGGTGTGATCTACTCCTGTGAAACAAACCTTCCAGAGTAGGATGAGAAAAACCAACAAATATTTAAAAAAAGCTCCTCTTCCTCTCCAGGTTGATGAATGGATACCTTAAAGGTTCAGTGTGTAAGATTTAGGTGAATAGGATCTATTTGCAGAAATTGAATTGAAATAATCCTAGTGATGTTTTCACTCATGTTTCATCTACATTGTATGAACTGTATTTTTCTTTACCCTAGAATGAGCCTTTTATATTTAAATACTTCATATTTACATCAGGAGTGGGTCCTCTCTAAAGAGGCAGCAGTGTTTTTTAAAGTAATCCAGACCAGAATACATTTTTATGACAACTAACGGCTACCACAGGTTCTCTCTCATGTTTGGACTGGGGGGTGAGGTGAGGGTTATTGAGCTGAAACATGCAACTTCACCACTAGATTTCACTTAATCTTACACACTGTAGCTTTGAGCATGAAGTTTTAATTTCAGGGCAGATTAACGACAGAGTCCTACATCTCATCTAAACCATAATCCTCCTCTGGGAAGTCTCCCACCATCACATTCAGGGGCTTCACAAATGCACCATATTTGTTCTCACAATCAAAGTATTGCTTCCCTTCAACACTGTGGAGACATAATTTTCAAAAGGGGACAAAGTCATAATCAGGACAAAATCAAGGCCAGGTGAAATGTGTATTGCATAAAATTATAGTGCACTTACGTTCCATTGTGTTTTCCAAGGGGCTCATCATACTTCACACCCACCCAGAAGCCTGGCTTGAAATCTGTTGTACCTGAAATTAAAGCAACATTCTTTACACCGTGTACTTCCTGTTCTGCTTACATGTTTAACGGGCAATCACAACAATCAACCCTTATTCACAGTCCAGTCCTAATACGTTCTCAGCACACAGCTTTTCTACCGGAATTTATTCAGAAATAGCTACACATCCACATTCTGTGGGGTCGGTCAGTCTGGTGTGTAGTCTGTAAACTGTAGACCCACAGGGTAGAATACCAGCTCAGATTGAGCCGAGGTCCAAGGATTTTTTAAAAAGATTAAGCGGTAATATTAATCTGTATGTCTGTCAATTCTTATTGACACTTAAGGGTTAAACAGTTAATGGCATTTTGAGGCCTATTTATCTATGTGGATTTAACAGCATTCAGTAAACGACACTGACAAAATTAAAACCGAACATGCCAGCACAAGAAGCACTTTAACAGCCAATCCAGCAGTTACTTTTGTTGTCATAAAACTATCGGAGCAATGTATAATAATTCATCCTCCATTAATAAATTGTGTAAAGGGACTTTGTCACCATAAGTTAAAACAAAATCTGCAGAAAGTAGCTTCTTAGTCTCCTCAACAAAGAAACCAGGTAATCTTTATCCACACTTACCAACATACATGACCGATGCAAGCTTTGTGGGCTGCCCGGGGACCTGCACTTGGCATCGGTTGCCAACAGAAATGGCCTCAGCAGCAGCCTTCTGTTTGTTCTCACGAGCAGCGTTCTCTTCTTGCTTCTTGGCTGTTTCTTCCTCATTGAAGCGACCCACGCGATGTTTCTTCATGAACGACCTTGCTGAGTCTGAGGGAAAGAAAGTCATGAATTATCCTTCAAAACAGGCTGTGAGTATTAAAAGTTTGAATAGCTAGTTTTACATTTGTCAATTTTTCACAAAATAAATAAAGCTTTCTACGGCTGTTGTGGAATGGAGGTATTCAATGTTTTGAATATGACTGCAACTAACAATTCAATTTTATTTATCATCTGCTCTATCAGTTATTGTCAGGATCCCATGATTAATGTTTCATGGGATTGATGTAATCATTAAGTAATCAGCAAATGTTTTTAAATGTGTAACAATTAAACTAAGAAAATAAATGTATCTTATGAGAAGTAGAAATTGGAGTGTTGGTGTAGAAGTTTTTACCTGTTCTTTTTTCATAGGCTTGGTCTGAGAGTTCAAACCTCTCCACTTGGGAAACATCAGTAAACTCGCCCATCTGTTGTCCACTATTATCAATAACCTGAGCAGGAAATTACATGTGAGTTAAAAAAAAGTCACTTTAAAAATATATTATAATAATCACTTCAATTTGAAACATTGACGACAATAGGTCAGCAAGGCTAATATCGTTACATGGTGCAAGTGCAATATTCTTTATGTTCGGTAGGTGATTTGTTAGTTTTTAATCACAGGGAAGGTCACCCGCAGAACTTAGTGTGGGAGGGTATCTCCAGATAATTAACTTTTGTAGCTGATCAGTCAATGGGGGGGGTGGTGGCAACCCTGTAGTAGACAACTATATAGTTGTCTTTCTGATCTGTTTCAGCTTTTAAAAACAAACTGCAGATGCCATTATTTAGTTAGCAGCGCTATAATAGGTTTGCCTGCTCACAAAAATTCTACATGTACACACGTGACTCTCTCTTGCATGGGAGAATGACAGACAGGAGATGGCAGAACTGACAAGTTAGAGGGATGCCTTTTTTGGTCAGTTAAATTTTAAGGGGAAGAATCATCTTCTGCTTATGTCAATGCATAATATTGTTGTGCAAACCAAACCAATACAATTTTCACACAATCTGTTGTTTGCTGTGATATGTGAGGCAATATCTTTCTTGCCTGCAGATAAACAGAATCAGCTTTCGACCCATGGAAGCTGGCTGTGCATATGTTAACACAATATGTCAAAGACAGCTACATACATGTATTCTGCAGTCATCATCCACAGGATAGGAGCCCAGCAAAGCGTCATTGTCATTCATTTTCAGCAGAAACTTGTCTGAGACACTGAATAACTCCAGATCCATGCAGGAGGCAGGTGTGCCCACAGCCATCTCCAACTTTCCCTGTTAAAGTCAATACAAAATAGTACATGAAATTCAATTGGATTTATCAGATGCTGATAAGATTTGTGATAACATGAAGAAGACAGAAATTAACTTGAATAGCACTCAGTAGAGCGCATTCCTCCGCCAAAGCACTCGCCTTAGGAAATCACATTTTAATTTGGATCTGCAGCAATTGCACACGCTTGTAAATATCAGTCCTCTCAACATGCCTAGTCTGTTTCAACAAGATCCATGAATTATTACCTGCATCGAAGAGGTATTGTTTCCCCCTTGTCTATTTGTCTTTAAGCAAGATTTCACAAAAACAACTAAGCAGGTTAACACAAAACTTGATGGAGGGATGTGGTATGGGCCAGGGATGAACCCATAAAAATGATTGTGAATTAAGTGGGACAGATCGAGGAATTCTTTTCACTTCCTCAGGCATGTCTGGGAGACATTTTGTGCAGATCCAAATAAAAATCCAGATGTAGGGAATTTAAATTTGGTTTCAACACAAGACTGTTGGACCTGATGGCCATTCTAGTTCTCTAATTCAGATGTTGAGTCCTGGATCTGCCCAACTGATCTGGATTTCCACCAAAGTGTTTTGGATTAATCTCTGACCTGTACAGCACATTTCCATCACCATAGTTTTTGCACAATCTTACCAACAGACCAAGTGGTGGTTACATCTGAGAAAAAACTACTTGTACATCTCTTTAGACGGGTAAGGTGTGATCAGTGGATAAGACAAGGCACACCTTAAGGTCAGCGATGCACAGCCCTCTATTGAACCTGCGCTGAACCTCCACGGCGTAGATGGTGCTGGTAATGCGCACATTCACAAGGGGGTTGGTGACTATTGTCACTTGGCCCTCCATTATCGAGCCTGTTTGGATGCAGCAGTTGGTCACAAACTGAAAAGAGAAGACAGATAATGTGACATATTGACCACTGGGACTGAAACTGAACGACTATCTGAAGCAAACACATGTGGTCCCTGGTAAATACACGTTGGCTTTGATTCAAGATGTTTTCAGAAAATAAGAACTACGCCTTCTTTCAAACAGTATTCCTTGGTTTCACATTGTTACGTCATTATTACGCACGTTCCATCATTCAGATCAGCAGTTACGTTCGCTATTTTTACATATATCTTACGTTTGTTACGACTGTAATTGCTTAGGTCCCACTACACATTCGGTTAATTTGGGTGGCTAGCTTGGGTTAGCCCACAGGGTTAGCCACACGCTGTGTTAGCTGTTTGGGTGGCTAGCAGCACAACAGTCATGTTGCACATACTGGGGGAGCCACGGCGTGGTTGCCATAGTTACTTACAAAAGCGTGAGTCTCCTTCGTTGGTATCTAAAGAGCGTGGACTTGTCTGTGGATCAGTTCAACCAGATGGATCCATCACTTTCACGCCGTTGTTATAGTGATGTTAGCTCGGCTAGTCTCGGGGTGTGCTGGTTGGAGAGCTGTCGCAGCTGCTTCCCGATACGCCCACTTCTGGAATGTTCCACCCGCCACCAGGCTGCAAAGCACCAATCACATCGAGGAGCGGAAAAGCTCGACCAATAGGATTACGAGACGGAAGGAAAGGAGGTACAAGGACCGCCCGCTACTAGACGATTGACACGATGGATAACCAATCATCAGATGAGAGATGAGGGCGACCCCGACCACAATGAGGTGCTGTTTGTTCTCCAGCCTGAAGTAAACATGACTGAGCAGAATCTTCTCAGGAACAGTCGGGACACAGCAGAGATACAGCCACATGTTCGGGCTGTTGATTGAGTATGAAAATAAAGTGATGAATAAAGGCCTGTGCTTTATATCATGCCAGGTTTGATCTCCAGGACAAAGGAGATAAAGCAAAATTTGGTTTCAACCTGACACCATTTCCTACCAGGCCAGCAACACATCAGAAGATAACATAAGTTAAAAATGTTATTGATCCACACACCAAGGAAATGCAGTTGTTACCGCAGCAGGCAAGACACTCACCATTACTGCCTATGTTAGTCTAATGCACAACTTGGTATAGCTTTATCTTTATCTATCTATCTATCTATCTATCTATCTGTCTATCTATCTATCT